GGGGATCTGACGCCCTCTTCTGACCTCTGCAGGCATTGCGTGATCTACCTACATGCAAGCAATACACTCATACACAAAGAATAAAAATAATAAGTAAAATTTTTTTTAGTTAATACTCTTAGAAATAAACATAGGAATAAGTTCTTCATGATCTAAGATCTGGTAATGGTTTCTGATTTATGATACCAAAAGCACAAACAGCCAAAGGAAAAAAAAAGAAGGGGCTGGGAAGATAGCACAATCAGTAACATACCTGCTATGTAAGCACTAGGACCTGAGTTCAGTCCCCAGCACCCATGTAAAAAGCAGGGATTGTTGGCGTATGCTATAACCCCATTTAGATGAAATAAAATGGGCTAAGGAGCTAAGCCAGTGCCTACAATCTCAACACTTAGAAAGTTGAGTCAGGAGGACTGGCTCAGTGGTTAAGGGCACTGGTTGCTCTTCCCAGCAACCCACATGGTGGCTAACAACCGACCCTAACTACAGTTCCAGAGGGATCTGATGCCCTCTTTTGGCCTCCATAGGCATGTATACACATGGGACATATATAAGTACAGGAAAAACATTTATATACATAAAATAAGAATAAATAAATCCAAAGTTATTTTCTTAAAGGTGTAAGATTTAGCAAGCCTACCCTAAGTGTATACCCAAAAGAATTGAAAAGAGGGACTAGCAAGATGGCTTAAAAAATAAAGATGCTTGCTGCCAAGCCTGATGATCTGAGTTTGATCCCTGGGACTGTCATGGTGGAAGGAGAGAACCAACTCCTACAAGTTGTCTTCTGACCTCCACATGTACAAAGTTGCACACATACCCAACCATGCACATAAATAAGCAAGCAAATAAATGCAGTTTTAATATTTAAAAAAGAAATGTAAATAGGTGTACAAACAAAAATATATACAAATTTTTACTCCATGTGCATATCCATGCAGTGGAATACTATTCATGCCTGAAAAAGAATAAAAGTACTGATACATGCTACAACATGAATGATCCTTGAAAACATTATGTCAGGATGAAATAAGTCAGACACAGGACAAATGCTATATGATCCCACTTACATGAACTATCTACAACAGATAAATCCATATAGGTAGAAAGCACATCAGCATTTTCCAGGGGCTGGGTAGAGGTAATGAGTGACCACTGGTAGTTTGGGGTTTATTTTGAGGGTGATAAAAAAAATAGTTCTGGCTGGGCATGGTGGTGCATGCCTTTAATCCCAGCACTTGGGCAGAGGCAGGCATAGGCCAGCCTGCTCTACATAGCGAGTTCTAGGCCAACTGTGGCTACAGCAAGACCCTGTCTCAAAAAGGCCAAAAAAAAAAAAAAAAAAAAAAAAAAAAAAAAAAAAAAAAAAAACCCCAAAAACACTTTGGGTTGAATGATGGTGAATGGAGCACCACACTGGGAAGTGCTTAGTGTACTCCACTGTGCATTTCTAAATGCTTTAAGTGGCCGGTGCTTGTTTGCAGCTGTATTTTATCACAAGTTGATCTCTTTCTAGACCAAAAAGCAAGACTCAACGAATTTCAAATAAATTAAGTCATACTAAAGAAGCTATTTCCTTTAAAATAAATATTGATAGTCAACCAGGCAAAAAAATATGTACAGGTGTGGGGGGATGCTATCCAGATCACTGCACAGCCCAGGAAGGTGTAGGGCTAGGAACCTCCAAATTGCCAGATTCTCTTTCCTCTCACTCCCATTTGGGTCAAGAGACCCCAGGGCCCTGGGCTCTCTTCCCAGAGCCTCTGTCCCCCAACCAAGGACAAGCCACAGACAGTCTGACCACAGCCCCAACCAGGCTGGGACCCTGTCTCTTCCGGGTCAGAGTGATCACCTCTCTAAGCCCATGTCCTTGCCCAGGGTGGAGGCTGGCTGGTGCTGGGTGCTGCCCAGGCCACCACCCAAGGAGTGATACTTGACCACTGTCTTTGGCCCAGAGAAGTCAGCCTTTTCCCCAAAGTCTGGCATGGTACCGAGGTCAGAATACTCCTAGGCTGTCTTTATGGTTTACCTGGAAGGAAGCCTTCAAGACCACAGCCGAATCCCTGCATCTGGCCCTGGGGTCCTCCACCAAGTGAGCCTAGCCCATCCACCAGTAACTCCACTACCTGGGAAAAACGCCTCCAGGTTCAGCTCAGGCACTCCCCAGCCTTCTACCCTCTCCCTCTGCTTCTTCTTCACCCCAACATCCAGCCCACTAACCCTGGGGGTCCAGGCATACCAGCAGCTGGAAGCCTTCCTGACTCCTGCACTCCTGACAGCCCAGTCAGCTTCTGTCCCTAGAGCTTTTTCTCAGGGCCCCAGCGGGGCCCACATTCCTGAAACCCCCAAGTTCCACTTAGCTCTCAGTATCTATCTGACAAGCAGCTGGAAGAGAAGAAGCCACAGGAACAAAACTGAGCACAGGGACCTCAGGGGAGCTCAGCAAATGCAACCAGTGGGCCCTGAACAATACATTCCTGGGAGCTGTCTGCACTAAGCCTCACAGACAGGAACTACAAGATGGGGAAGCAAATAGAGGCCTAGTGAGTGAAGTAGCTTGCTCCAGGCCACACAGCTGTGCTGTTAGGAAATATATAGAATCCGTAGCCAAGCCCCTTACCCCTGGAGGTTGGGCAACACTGCTTCAAGGAAACTGTCCACCTGCCTCTCCCTCCTCAGCTTTGGGGCTGGCTAAAACCTGCCATGCTGGGGATCTCTCCACCCAGGGGCTCACTGCAGGGGAAGATAATGTGGAAGGGTGTGTTTAGTGCTCCTTTTCAGGTAGCTAGCAACACCTGTGAACAGAGAGAGCTATCTTAGGGAAAGAGCTAATTCCCCTCAGGGGAATACATCTCTCTCTCTCTCTCTCTCTCTCTCTCTCTCTCTCTCTCTCTCT